ATGCCATAGTCCTTTCTCTATTCTCAAGGGATTATGGGCATGACCCTATATGTGCTCTGTGTGACTTTCAAGTCACTGAGTCTGGGACTTGAACTGCAGTTGTCTATGTGGGAGTCCAGCACCTTAATCACCACACCTGGCCCTCAGGACTTTTCCTTGGCTCCTATTTTGTGGTCATAATTCAGATTAAGGGTTCCTGTTGTCTGTTGACATTTTTCTATAGTTCTCATTGTCGTAAAACTCCTGAAGATGGGGTTTATTTTACAGATGAAACCCAGGGAATGTATCGCTTGGGCACACAGCCAGTGGGTTTCAAAGCTGGCATTGTATTCACACCCAGTATTGCCTCATGTGGGGCCAGTGAGCTCAGCAAGTCCAAACCTTGTCATCTCTACCCTCCCCCCAACGTACCTCTTCCTAAGGCATTTTCTCCCCTTAAAGATCATTACTTTAGCGCCTGTTATTTATTATTACTATTTTTCACATTTCTCAGTCACGGGGGAATCCAGTGCCTTAACCCCCATGGCCCCTGCCGGCCCGCTTCTTTGTAAGTTGTGTTTCTCATTAAACGGCACTGCCATTCACCCAGTGGCCCAAACTAGAAATCCGGGGGTCACCTAGGAGTCTTCTCCATCCAGGACGGTACACACAGTCATACCACCAAGTTCTGTTTGCCTCTTGCAGGTTCCCGAAGGTTCCCTCTTCCTTTAGGCCTGGGGGTGTCACCTCAGTTTCCTGCACTTCTGCAGTAACTACCTAGATCATCTCCTGCCTGCAGTCTTGACCACCATTCCACCAGATGAAAATTCCTGAAGCTCTGACCACAGCGTTCTCTGTTGACTGCACCTTAATGCCTTCTTCTTGCTCTGGGGATAAAACCCAAGCCCCTTTCATGTGGTTTCTGGAGCCTCTTATCATCTGGCATCTGCTTACCTCACTATCTATCGCTACATCCCCCTCACTTTATTGACCTTTTATTGTTCATTACTGATTCGTTTTTAATTTCCCCAATTCCCTAATTTCTTTCAGACTTTTTTTGGGCGGGTGGAGGGGAGAGATTTTTGCTATACGCATGTGTGCTCACCAGAGAGATGGAGAGAGACAAAGGGAAAGTGAGAAATCACCTCCTCCCTGGGGGGGGGGTGGCCACGTCACAATCCCTTCTTCTCCATTCTCCTCTCAGGATTTTGGGCATGCATGCACACATGTCCAGCATGAGTTTTTTTTGTTTGTTTGTTTTGTTTGTTTGTTTTTGTTTGTTTTGTTCTGTTTTTAATCTTTTAAGAGAGATTTTTGCTATAGGGTGCGTGTGCTTGCTGGAGAGACAAAGAGAAAGCAAGAAATCACCCCTCCATGGGGGCTGGCCATGCCGCAATCCCCTCTTCTCCTGTTTCTTCTTGGAATCTTGGGCACACACCCACATGTACCTGGAGTGAGTTCCAAGCCTCTGGGTCTGGGACTTGAACTGGAGTAGACTATGTGGAAGTCCAGTGGTATAATCATTACACCGTCTTCTGGTCCCCTTGAAAAAATTTTCAAAATAATTTTTAAAATTTAACTTTATTTGTTGATTTACTTATTTTAATTTGACCAGAGAGGGACAGAGTGAAAGAGGGAGATAGAGAAAGAGAGAAAGCAAGCTGCCAGGTCTGGGACTTGAATCACGGTCAGCCATGTGGAAATCCAGGGCCCTTAACCACTACCCTGCCTGCCAGCGCCCCCTGCATGAGTTTTAAGCCCCTGGATCTGGGGCTGAAACTGGTCAGGCATGTGGGGTTCAGCACCTTAACCACCGCACCACCTGCCGGCCCCACCTTTCAGACGTTTGCTCTTACAGGTTCCTCTGCCAGGAAAGCTGTTCATTTGTTACAAGATAATTTCCAGAAAAAGGTAAAATTGGGATGCTCGTACTGTCAAGAAACAATTATTCTGATGCTTGTTAAAACATTTAGGAAGGGGACCAGCAGTTGGCTTAATGGCTATGTTGCTGGACTCCCATGTAGTCGACCATGGTTCTAGTCCCAGACCCGGTGGCTTGCTTTCTGTCTCCTCTCTGTCTCTCTGTCTTTGTGGCGAGCACACGAGCCCTACAGCAAAAACCTCTCCAAAAAAAAAAAAACTCAAAAAAAAAAAAAAAAAAAAGTGTATTGTCTCTGGACTTGGTGGCTTAAACTCCTGCCCGGTGTGTGTGTGTGTGTGTGTGTGTGTGTGTGTGTGGTCATGCGTGCACAAGATCCGGAGAGGAGAATGGAGGAGAAGGGATTGTGGTGTGGCCATCCACCCGGGTAAGGGGGCATTTCTCGCTTTCTGTCTCTGTCTCTCTCTGTCTTTGTGGCGAGTGCACGCGCCCTATACCGACCGAAAACCTCTAAAAATAATTAGGAAGACTTTCTTCAGGACTACTGTGATAGGTGCAAGGACTACCCTGACAAGGGAGGGGAGAGGTCAGGCTCAGATCCCAATACCTCAGGGCAAGTGCAGATTTATAGCTCAGGAGAACTGAGAGGAGCTGGTGGAGGGAAGGACCCTTACAAGGGCAGGGGGACTCTTGTTAATCCTACTTCACAAAATGATCAGATGGAGGAGACGTCACCCTGAACTGACTTAGCAGGATTCTTGCTAGAACTGGGCAGGCAGGTCCAACAAGGGTAGGACGAAATCTAGTCACAAACAGAGCTCCTAGCAGCCGGTTTAGAGTTTGGTTAAAGAGAGTCTTTTTTTTTTTTTTTTTTTTAGAGATTTTGCTATAGGGTACATGCGCTGTCCCCAGAGACAGAGACAGACAGAGACATACCCCTGTCAGGGGATGCAGGGCGAATGGCCATGCCGCAAGCCCTTCTGCTCTATTCTCCTCTCGGGATTTTGGGCATACACACCCCTGGTGTGAGTTTCAAGTTGCCAGGTTGGGGACTCAAACCCTGGTCAGCTGTGGAGAGTAGTTAATTTGAAAATATGTTCTCCACAGTCAGCCATGTGGGAGTCCAGTATCTTAGCCACTCCACCACCAGCTGGGCCAGAAAAAAGTCTTCATCAATATCCGTATGAAAATGAACACATTGGGCCAACCAGTGGTAGTTAAGGCGGCCAGATCCCACAGGACAGACTGCTGCTCGAGTCTCCCACCCAGCTGGCTGGGGAACACTCGGGGTGCCTGTGCATTAAGGTTCAAAATCCCAGCAGGAGGGAGAGATGGAGAAGAAAGGATTGCTTTGTGGCCATGTGCCATAGGGGATGCTTTCTTGCTTTCCCTCTCTCTCTCCCCAGTGAGCACAGGCCCTCTGGCAAACTTAAAAGAAAAGGGAGGGAACCGGCAGTTAGCATAATGGCTATGTCGCTGGACTCCCACGTAGTCGCAGTTCACGTCCGGATCAGGTGGCTTAAAACTCACACCGGGCACGTGTGCGTGCGTGCCCAAGATCCCGAGAGGACAATGGAGGAGAAGGGATTGTGGCATGACCATCCCCCCTGGGGGGTGATTTCGCTTTCTGTCTCTCTGTCTCTCTGTCTGTCTGGCGAGCGCACGCCCCCTATAGCGAAAAACCTCTCCAAAAAAAGAAAAAAAAACTCAATCCAAAAAAGAGTCCCTAGCGCGCGGTTTAGAGTTTGGTTAAAAAGAGTCTTTTTTTTTTTTTTTTTTTTTAGAGATTTTGCTATAGGGTACATGCGCTGTCCCCAGAGACAGAGACAGACAGAGACATACCCCTGTCAGGGGATGCAGGGCGAATGGCCATGCCGCAAGCCCTTCTGCTCTATTCTCCTCTCGGGATTTTGGGCATACACACCCCTGGTGTGAGTTTCAAGTTGCCAGGTTGGGGACTCAAACCCTGGTCAGCTGTGGAGAGTAGTTAATTTGAAAATATGTTCTCCACAGTCAGCCATGTGGGAGTCCAGTATCTTAGCCACTCCACCACCAGCTGGGCCAGAAAAAAGTCTTCATCAATATCCGTATGAAAATGAACACATTGGGCCAACCAGTGGTAGTTAAGGCGGCCAGATCCCACAGGACAGACTGCTGCTCGAGTCTCCCACCCAGCTGGCTGGGGAACACTCGGGGTGCCTGTGCATTAAGGTTCAAAATCCCAGCAGGAGGGAGAGATGGAGAAGAAAGGATTGCTTTGTGGCCATGTGCCATAGGGGATGCTTTCTTGCTTTCCCTCTCTCTCTCCCCAGTGAGCACAGGCCCTCTGGCAAACTTAAAAGAAAAGGGAGGGAACCGGCAGTTAGCATAATGGCTATGTCGCTGGACTCCCACGTAGTCGCAGTTCACGTCCGGATCAGGTGGCTTAAAACTCACACCGGGCACGTGTGCGTGCGTGCCCAAGATCCCGAGAGGACAATGGAGGAGAAGGGATTGTGGCATGACCATCCCCCCTGGGGGGTGATTTCGCTTTCTGTCTCTCTGTCTCTCTGTCTGTCTGGCGAGCGCACGCACCCTATAGCGAAAAACCTCTCCAAAAAAAGAAAAAAAAAAGAAAGAAAAGGGAAAATAAAAGAACACATGTTGATTTTATTTAACTCATAAAGGAACTGGCAGATGTTAGAACTGGAACCCAAGGAAGTCTAGAGAACGGACACATTTACAGATCAGAAATATAAAAATGAATATGAAAATTGAGGCAAAACCGTTTTTCAAGATGTGGGAGTAGGAGTGAACGGAACCTCTACCAGAAGGGACAGAATTTGCAAGGCAATCAGTTACGTACACTGCGTTTTAAACTCCCACAAAACCAGAATTTTATAAAGCAGGAGAATATACTATAGACAAGTCCTTCACCATTCTCATTAGCCCCCACTTCTTCTAGGAAGCCTTCAGAGACTCTCCACGTGCGAACCAGGTGCCATTTCTGGGCTCTCACATTTATCACGTTGGATTGTTTACATCGCCTCCCAGTTCCCCACCCCCACCGCACAAGACCGCGAGCTTTTGAGGCAGACACTGAGTTACTCAATTCTCTTATTGTTTCCCCAGCGTGAACATCTGCTTCTGAGGAACACAGTATTCCGGGGGTAGTGGAAGCCACAGGTAGACATACTGGATATCAGCAGTCATTTTACTCTACGATTTGGGGAGACGTGTTTACATGAAAGCAGACGCTGCCCTTCGCCCCGCATCAACGTCTCGTCGTTTTAGTAAGTGACCGTCGGTGTTCGACGCCTGCAGGATACCGCGGGATACAAAGATGCACCAGGACCTTCTGCAACGCTGTAGCCTGAGCAAGAAACCGTCTGGATACTAAGTGGCACTAGGCTGCAGGGGGCGCCACCGACACACCGGGAGAGGGGCTCAGCCTACCCCGCGGTGACTGCAACGCTGGACCGACCAGAAACTGCCTCCCAGCCCGCTTGGCCTCTCGCTCAGTCTGGGTCCTGAGGACAGTCCAGGGCTGGGGCTGCTGCTTTTACCAGTCACGGGGATGGGAACGAGAAACCCGCAAGGAATTTGAGGGGTGGCCATGAGGCCCCTGCACCCACTCCCCGGGGTTCGGGCCCCTGCCGAGTCCCACACGATAGTCGGCGCCCCAGGGGCGACCGTGTAAGCCACCCCGCACCCAGCTCAGACCACGCCGCCCTGGGCCCCTGCCCCTCGCGGCTGGGCGGCTCCACCCGAGGCCCCGCCCCGTGACGCGAGGCTCCGCCCCCGCGGCGCCCGCTTCCAAGATGGCGGCAGCGATGCCTGCCCGGCTGTCCGGGTGGCGGTGACGACGGGAAACAGAAGACCAGGTATGTGGGCTGGGGACCGTGAGAAGAGAGGCCTGGGAGAAAGGTTCGGGCGGTTGGGAGAGTGAGAAGTTTGGGATAAAGGCTGGAGACCAGCCCGAGCAAGGACGGGATCTCAGGTGGAAGTGTGGACGGGGGCCGGGTGGGCTCACATTGCACGGAGAGGCAAACGCGAGAGGAGATTGCGATGGGGTGGGCGTGCTCCGACTGAACGGGGTTGTAACCCCCCCGCAGAGCGCTGACCACGCCCCTCCAGGTGAGCCCGCCCAGGTGCCCCCGTCCTCTTCTCACTTCAGCGGTAACCTTGCGCCCCACCCCCGCTAGGGCTGGGGACAGGTGGAAAGGCTGGAGGACGCCACCCCCACCTGGTCCCCGCCGCGCTCCGGGGCTGTGTGCTTGCAGCTCCCAGGTGGTCACGCTCCCTGCACTAGCGGAGCGAGCTCCCAGGCACGTGAAGAACCGAGGCGCCTGCTCCCTACTCGCCCTGGGTTCTCCAGAGGCCACTCTACGGTCCTGTCATGACTGACGCCTCTTGAACGGATTTTGTCGGTCTGGGACTGTGTCTCCATCAGCTGCCCTGTCCCCACTTTCCAAACAGGTCCGTCCTGTTGGGGTGGGGGTAGGGGTGGTTAAGGAGCAGCCCGACTCTCTCCAGGGTAGTCCCGGGCCCTAGCATCTCCATCTCGTCGCTTTTCTTGCAACTACTTCCTCTCACTTCGCCTGCTGAGAAACCAGCTGCACCCTGATCCTAATCTCTGCCGGAGTGGCTGGTCGGCCACTTTGACCACTTCTGTCCCAGCAGGTCTCAGATTTGCTGTTGGAGTGCTGAATGGAGTCCTTCTCTGCCCTCTGGGACAGTTCTAATTTTAGATAATGCCTCACATCTCTGCCCCCCCGGGACCCCCTGGAGCCCCCATGATCCCAAAGAAGACAGCTTGAACCTAGGTGAGTCTGTCCCTTCTCCTCTGGAATTGGAAGGGCGCATTTTCCAGAGACTTCCGAAATGGGCGTGGGACTTGAGCGTTTTAAACATTCTTGGGGGTGCGGTCAGAGTGGATGGTGGGAGTGGTTTGGGGGAAGTGGTGGAAAATGAAACTTGGGCTGAAAGTGACAGGTGGCAGGGTTGCTGGGGCTCCATTCTTTCCGCTGTGGCTGCACACCTGTGCTCCCTGCTGTGGCTTCGTCCCCTGCCTTCCCCCTCTTCACCCCATCCGGCCTTCTTCCCTCCCACTGGTGCTCACCTGCTTCCTGCCCAGAACTGCCCTCTCTCCCTCCCAGATCTCGCCCAGGATGCTGCGGAGGCTGCTGGAGCGGCCCTGCACGCTGGCCCTGCTGGTGGGCTCCCAGCTGGCTGTCATGATGTACCTGTCCCTCGGGGGCTTCCGGAGCCTCAGCGCCTTGTTTGGCCGAGATCAAGGGCCGACATTTGACTATTCTCACCCGCGTGATGTCTACAGTAACCTCAGTCACCTGCCTGGAGCCCCTGTTGCCCCAGGGGGTCCGCCAGCTCCTCAGAGTCTCCCATACTGTCCAGAACGGTCTCCTCTCCTAGGTGAGTACAGCAGGAAGCGGTGAGGACAGATGGAATGCAGGGTGGGAGGTTGGGCAGGCAGGGAGGGGCAGGAGTGGAACTCAGCCCAGGAGCCCACAGGACTCGGTGGGCCGAGGGTGCTAGAGCGGACTCCAGATGTGGGATTTAGACCGGGCTCTGGGGTGAGCCACCACTTTCCGTTGTCAGCTGGTGTGGGCTCTTGCCGCCGCAGGCTGGGAATCATTTCTCTTAGAAATAAGCCCTAGCTTAATCAGTTGCAAGTCCTGTTCTTTCCGATCCCCACCTGTAGCTTCCTACCCTGTGAGGCAGAATGTTAAGGAATCCTAAAAGAAGGGGGCAGGCCAGGTAGGGAGCCTCCACCATCCAGGCTCTGCAGGCGTGCCCAGCGCCCGGGCGGCCAGGGCCTGTGAGGTTTCTGAGTGAGCCCTGAGAAGCACTGAAGCAGCACAAGGGCCGGAGGTATTCCCAGATCCTGCTGTTCTCTTCTCCCTGTCCCCCGACCTGTGACCTTGCTACTCCCTCCCACAGTGGGTCCCGTGTCGGTGTCCTTCAGCCCTGTGCCATCGCTGGCTGAGATTGTGCAGCGGAACCCTCGGGTGGAGGCAGGGGGCCGGTACCGCCCTCCTGGGTGTGAGGCCCGCTCCCGAACAGCCATCATTGTGCCCCACCGAGCCCGGGAGCACCACCTGCGCCTGCTGCTCTACCACCTGCACCCCTTCCTGCAGCGCCAGCAGCTGGCTTACGGCATCTACGTCATCCACCAGGTACCCAGCCCCGCCCCAGCCCACTCTTCCTGGCGAGGAAGCCTCCAGCAAGTGCTACTCTACTCTCATCTAATGGATTCTGGATTTTTCCTTTTTTAATTTGCCAGAGGATACACGTGCTTGTGGGGCTGGGAGGACAAAGAGAAAGCACCCCCCCTTGGGGGATGGCCCATGCCACAATCCTTTAATCCTGTCTCCATTTCTCCTCTTGAGACTTTGGGCAAACACACACGCCACTGGCCTGTTTGTCAAACTGCCGTGTCTGGGACTTGAACTGTGCAGTTGGCCTTGTGGGATTCAGCTGCCTCTACCACCACACCACCAGCCAGCCATTTTTCCACGTTTATGTATTTTAAGCTTATTGGGTACATGTGCTTTCTGGAGAAACACAGAAAGACAATGAGAGGGAAAGTAAGAATCCCCCCCCCCCGGGGGGGAGAGCCACACTACAGTCCCTTTTCCTCCATACTCTTCCTGGGATTTTAGGCACACACGCACATACACTTGGTTTATTTCAAGTCACCAGGTCCAGGACTCAAACTGCAGTCGACCATGTGGGAGTCCCGCCTCTTAACCACCATGCCGCCTGCTGGCTCCTAAGTAAATAATTCATTTTTTTTTTTTTTTTTGAGAGGTTTTCGCTATAGGGCACGTGCGCTCGCCAGACAGAGACATAGAGACAGAAAGCGAGAAATTACCCCCCAGGGGGCATGGCCACACCGCAATCCCTTCTCCTCCATTCTCCTCTCGGGATCTTGGGCACGCACGCACACGTGCCTGGCGTGAGTTTTAAGCCACCGGGTCCAGGATGCGAACCACGGTCAACTACGTGGGAGTCCAGTGACATAGCCATTACGCTAACTGCTGGTTCCCCTAAATAAATAATTCTTTAAAAAATAATAATAAAGAAATAAAAGAAAAAGGCAGTCTGGGGCCAGCAGATGGTGTGGTGGTCAAGGTGCTGAATCCTACATGGCCGACACCACCGTTCTAATCCTGGACCTGGCAACTTGAAAAACACGCTGGGTGCACGTCTGGGCAAACGTGCGTACATGTCCAAAATCCTGAGAGAAGAGGGGATTGAGGCTTGGCCATTTCCCTGGAGATGACTTCTCACTTTTCCTCTCTCTAGTGAACACAGTTGCCCTATAGCTAAAATACTATTATAAAGAAAAGGATAGTTTTTCTCTTCATTCTCACCCTTCCCTTTGATTTCCTTTTTCTCTTTTTCTTTTGCTATATAGTGCACGTGCTTTACTGGAGAGAGAGAGTGAGAAACCACCCTCCAGGGGACATGGCTATGCCGCAGGCCCTTCTCCTTTATTCTCCTCTCAAGACTTTGAGTGTGCACGCATGCACACACACACACAACCTGGTGTGTTTCAAGCCACTGGCTCCAGGACTTGAACTGCACAATTGGCCATGTGGGATCCAGGCATCTTAACCACCAGGTCACCAGGATGGCCTGATTTCCCGTTCTACTTACATGCTTCAGCCCCTCTTCATGCTTCCTGCAGCAGTCTGAACCCCTCCGTCATCTTCCAGGCTGGAAATGGGACCTTTAACAGGGCAAAGCTGCTGAATGTCGGGGTGCGGGAGGCCCTGCGTGATGAAGAGTGGGACTGCCTGTTCCTGCATGACGTAGACCTCCTGCCAGAGAACGACCACAACCTGTATGTGTGTGACCCCCGGGGACCCCGCCATGTTGCCGTTGCCATGAACAAGTTTGGATACAGGTAGAGGGCATGGCGGGGTGCTGGGAAGTAGGGGAGCCCACCATCCAGTGGGAGGAGGAGAGCCGAGGCGCTTTGGGGGAGGGAGTCTCCCCAGAGGACCTGTGGACTGTAAGGCTGTTTTTCTCCCCCCAGCCTCCCGTACCCCCAGTACTTCGGAGGGGTCTCAGCGCTCACTCCTGACCAGTATCTGAAGATGAATGGCTTCCCCAATGAATACTGGGGCTGGGGTGGTGAGGACGACGATATTGCTACCAGGTCAGACTTCTGCCACTGCCTCCATCCCCGCCTCAGCCTGGATCCCTGTCCTGAAACAGCCCCTGGCCATACCCCTCCAACACCCGACTCCAGCTGCCTGGTCCTGCACTGAGCCCGTTCCTTCCTCTTCATCTTAGTCAGAGCCCCCAGGTCAGGCCTTGCCTGCTGCCGCCCGTCTCGTCATGCTTCAGTCTGCTTCAGTTTCCTGGACCTGGTTGGTTAAAGTCCCGAGAGAGGAGCAAAGTGCAATAGGAAGTAGTATCATGGGATTGCAGAGCTGGAGAGGGGCTGAGAGACAGTTGAGTCCTGCCTTCTGGTAGGGCTGCATCAGACCATTTCCTATGGGGATGAGCAAGCAGAGCTGTTTCATATATCCCAGAATCACTTAAAAAAAAAAGCCTGTGCCATGGGCATGAGGCCAACTCATTTTTTGTCATGTGAAACATCCTGACCTTCAGCCTCAGCTGGCCCAGTTTCGTGTCTGCGGTGTGAATATTTGGGTTTGGTATGCAGACCCACTGCCTCTGCTCCCCTGTGTCCTCTGGGATGACAGCACTGTGTGAATTCCCACCCTCCGTATGTGCGTAGAGCACCCAGCAAATTCTGAATGTGTGTCTCTTTCAGTTCCTTCCCAGGCCGTGTTCCCTCCTTGCTTCTGTGTGCCAGAGTTAGGGTTTCTTTCTTTCCAGGTTCTGATTTCTCTCTCTCGTGTCTTTCTGTAAGTTTAATCAGCTATTCTATGAACGAGAGCGCCAGGGCCAGAGAGACAGCCCCCCAACAGTCTTGACGCTGCAGTTCACCCGTCAGCTTCAGCAGCTGCAGACCATACTCAGGGCCAGACACACTCGGGGAGGTCCTCCTCCAGATATCAACCTGGAGCCTTCCACGCAGGCTGGCCTCACGGAGCACCACGCTGGACTTCCGCACCACCCTCCAGCCCTGCCCCGACACACCCTCTATTCACACAGCGGTGCAGAGGAGCTGGCACAGCTCAGCTACTGTTCTGAATGTGCACTGCCAGGCTTGGGACTGCCGCTCCGTCTCATCCTGCCCTTATGAAAAAATGGCTTCTCTCTCCCTGTCCTTCCCCAACAGGAAGGGTGGTTCCAGGGGGCTATTTGAGAAGCAAAGGTAGGAGGTGCAGACCTACCTCTGCCAGCTGTTTATAGGCCCCAGGATACCTGGCAGTGGGCCCTGAGGATTTGGAGAGACGGCTTTTATGTTCTCCCTCTCTAGCGTTTCCTTCTTTCCGTGGGGCTCTCTCCTCCTGCCAGTCCTTGGCCGCCCTCCCTGCCTTCCGAGTGATGTTCCTGCATGCACAGGCCCACGGCCCTTCCTTGCTGCCTGCTCTCATTCACCTGGCAGCAGCTTCCGTCCGCTCTGGAGCCTCCAAGATCCCCTCCCTTTTTCCATAGGGTGCGTCTGGCTGGGATGAAGATCTCTCGGCCCCCCACATCGGTGGGACACTATAAGATGGTGAAACACCGAGGAGATAAGGGCAATGAGGAAAACCCCCACAGGTAGGAAGGGAGGCCCGGGGCTGTTACGAGAGCCTCGGGTTTTGCACCCTTAGCTGGGAGGCTCCCAAAGGTCCCTGGATCCCTGGCTGGTCCTTTCTGGGTCTTAGTCCCCAACCTCTAACCCTCAGGTTCGACCTCTTGGTCCGCACGCAGAACACCTGGACGCAGGACGGGATGAACTCGCTGACATACCGACTGCTGGCCCGAGAGCTGGGCCCTCTCTACACCAATGTCACGGCAGACATTGGGATGGACCCTCGCGGTCCCCGGGCTCCCTCCGGACCCCGGTACCCTCCTGGGTCCTCCCAGGCCTTCCGTCAAGAGATGCTGCAGCGCCGGCCCCCAGCCAGGCCTGGCCCTCTGCCTACTGCCAACCACACAGTCCCCCGTGGCTCTCGCTGAGTCCTCCTTCCTGCCCACCTTAATCATGAAACGGAATCGAGGGGCTGTGTTCTCCCCACCCTCGCTCCTCACTGCTCTCCGAGGGATGTGGGGGGACTGAACTCTAGTGCTAAGCTGGGGAGCGGGGGCCTCCCCTAACTGCTGGACTGGAGCTGGGCTCCTCTAGACCTGGGGTTCCCTCTTTCTAGGGTCACCTGCCAGGGTTTATGACTGTGAATCCTCGATGTCATGATTTTATGTGACGACTCCTGGGAGTCCCCTGCCCCTGGGGTAGGAGCAGGGCTGGACCCCAAGCCCCTTCCTCTTCCACGGAGAGAAGAGCGATCTGGCTTCTCCTGGGACCTCTGTGAATATTTATTCTATTTATGGTTCCTGGGCAGCTGTTTGGTGAAGGAAGCCCCCGCCTGGGTACTTTCTGCCAGTGCTGGAGTAGCTCCCTCTTCTGGTCCTGGCTCAGGGGGCTGGGATTTTGATATATTTTCTAATAAAGGACTTTGTCTGGCCTCTGCTTCTGCTTTCTGCATCCCAGGCACGCTGTGCCTCTGCCCCGGCTCCGCCCTGATGCCCACCGGCGACAGAACGGCCAGACTGAGTCAGGCTCCAGCAGCTTTTATTCTCACGGTTGTAGGGTGTGGGGGTCGGGGTGGGGCTCAGTGCCCAGGACACTGAAGGCCGCCTGGCGCCCACTCTCTATGCAGTCGTTGACAGCAACCCCCTCGTAGGACGCCCCGGCCAGTGTCAGGGGCAACCTCTGAGCAGCCAGGAATTGCTTAGCTGCCTCTGTGGGAGGAAGGACGCAAGGGATGTTAGAGCTCGGGCTGCTGTCCCGGGCCCTCCCGGACCCTCCCAGGCCAGCTGCTCTCCCAGCTTACCCAGTTTTTGCCAGTGGCCTACTGTGTACTGGGGAATGCAGTTCTGGGGAGAGAGGAGGGTGCAGGGAGAAACTTGTTACTGCTGTCCCAGGCCTTGGCCGACACAGTGACAAATACACAAGTTCCTGCCTTTGAGGCCTACAGTGGAGAGCCGAGGGGAGCCCATCCCAATCTACCTTGTGGAGATGGACCAGGCAGTGACTTGGGGGCTCCTTCAGTCCTAACTGTGTGGCAGCTGCTTCCTGTGCTTGCTGTTGGAACAGTTCCTGAGACAAGGCCCCACCGGCTGCCAGTGTCTGTAACCAGGAACCTCCCAGCATCACCTGGGAAGGGAGGTTAGCACTGACCCATCCGGCCTTGCCTCCACCGGGGCCCGGAGGCGCCCTTGACAAACCCACTGAGCACAGGTTCTTCCTCTTACAGTCACTCTGAGGCCAGGGGGACTCCCGTCCTGCTCAGGGAAAGCAACTGAGTCGTACACGATTCCCAGGACACCTGGGTCTTCTGCGGATGGCACCAAATGGCCAAATCCCTAGAGAGAGAGAGAGAAATCCACGGGTCACAGGGAAGGGCCCAGCTGAGCTGTGGCCCCCTTTGCTCCGGGTCCCACCTGGACAGGCAGCCGGGCTCCTCGGTACTGCAGGTTCACCACAGCTACTGACACGGCAGAGATGGTCCTCAGCACGCCAGCCAGCGGTGCGGCCTCTGCGGGGAGCAGCTCACTGAGTGCTGGAGATCAGGCAGAGGCCTGGGTCAGGAGGCATTCATGCTACGATTGTGTCAAACCTTTGGGATTAGACTCCCCTGAGAATGACTGGTTCAGGGAGCTGGAGTGGTCCTGCTGGCCCAGGAAGGCACAACCACTGCCCCGGCTAGACTGGGGAGAGGAAGGCAGCTGTCCCATTACCTGAAGCTGGAATGGCACTAATAATATGGTCAGCCTCCAGACTGCTGTCCCCTAGAGACACCTGAGAGGACAAAAACATTTGGGAGACATATGAGAGTTTTATGGGCAAAGTGAGACTTTGGCCTGGCTGTCAGTTTCCTAGGTGCCCAAGTGGCAGGAGATTAGGTGCTTTCCAGGATGAAGAATTGAGTGACAGAGTCATCTGCACAAAAATCACCCCCTATGGACCTGGTGGTGGCACAGTGGTGGCACAACTGGCCCTACAAGGGAAAGGTCCAGGGTCCATGTCTCAGGACCTCTCTGGGTCTGCAGGGTGTGCATTCATGCCTGTGATCTTAGCTGGCTGAGGCTGGGGGTGGACCATGGCATGTAGTCCCTGTTGGGGGGGCTCTCTCTCTCTCTACCCCCTTGTTTCTCTTTCTAGAAAGAAACAAATGAATAAACATTTAAAAAAATCATTTCTGGGGGCCAGCAGGTGGTGTGGTGGTTAAGGTGCTGGACTCCCATCTGGCTGGCCTCCGTTCAAGTAGTGGACCCAGTGGCTTGAAAATCACCTCAGGTGTGTGTGTGTGTGCGTCTGTGCTCCAAATCCTGACAGGAGAGTGGAGGAGAAGGGACTGCTGTGTGGCCATCCCCCTGGAGGGCAGGATGCAATGATTTCTCACTTTCCCTCTCTGTCTCTCTCTGACAATTGCATGTGCCTTATAGCAAGACCTAGAAAAAAAAATCAGTCCTGCAAATAGACAGGCCAGTATAGCTGCTCTGAAACGTTCAGTAAGCTAAGTTGTGCTTTCCTCCCTCCCTGAGCCACGTCTAAGCACGACTTCTAAGCACAGATTGTATCAAAGCGGTCTTTGAGGCAGGTCCACAAATACAGAAAGTCTAGGAGGAATCTGGTGTAGCTTCTAAACAGCTTCTAAGGCAGGAAGACAGTAACTCCAGTCCTAGCAGCCTCCGCCTGGCTGCTGCAGACCCTGACAGGTCTGTTACACTCCAGGGGGCGCCCCTACCTTCCAGCGCCCTTCTGCCTGGAGGCTAAGCCGGCACACAGGCTGGCCTCTCAGAATATTGACTCCTCTATTAGTCAGGTGGGTGTCAAGAGCCTGAGGCAACATCTCCAGCCCTCCACGCAGTGACCACTGGCTCCAGCGCTCAGCCCGGGCCTGGCGAATGAGTGCTGAGTCTGGCTGTGGGCTCTGTCCTGCAGAGGAGCAAAGAAGTATCATGGAGACAGCAGCCCTTGCCCCCAGTCCCTCACTTGGGCAGTCCTTAACATCGGCACCCTCTGAACCAATACCCCCTCACCTGCCCCCAGCAGCAGCCCCAGTAATATCGAACGGTGGGTTTGCTCAGCTTGGAAGAGACTGGGAAAGCAGGACCTGATGCTGAGCTCCCGGCTGTTGCCTGCAAACACTCCTCGGCAGAGACTGTCCATGGCTAGAGACGCCACCTTAAGGGTGAAACTGAGACTGAGGCCAAGAAGTAAGCTGCACTGCCTGATTTCCACTGCCCCAGGCTGGTAGGGAGTAGGGGTGGGGTAGGGTTTGGGTTGGAGGGCATTCCCACTACAGACAATCCCCAACTTACGATGGTTCAACTTACAATTTTTGACTTTACAATGGTGCAAAAGTGAGAGTCATTCAGTAGAAACACAGCATTCTGGTTTTCACTTTCAGTACAGTATTCAATACAATAAGGTACATGAGATACTTAATACTTCAGTATAAAACAGGCTTTGTGTTAGATGATTTTACTTAACTGTATGCTAACATAAGTGTTCTGAGCACATCTAGGATAGCCAGGCCAGGAGCTGACAGGTGGTGTGGTGGTTAAAGGCACTGGATTCCCACATGGCCGACTACAGTTCAAGTCCTGGACCTGGCAGCTTACTTTCTCACTTTCCCTTTCTCTCTGTCTCTGTCTGGTCAAATTAAAAAATAATCATAACAAACAACAAATGGAATTAAATAAATAAATGTTAAAAAAAAAAAAGCTAGCTAGTCTGGGGGCCTGCATGTGGCATGGTAGTTAAAGATACTGGATTCCTACATGGCTGATCATGGTTCGAGTCCCAGACCTGGCAGCTAGCTTCTCGTTTTCCCTTTCTCTCTCTCTCTGTCTCTATCTGATCAAATTAAAAAATAATAATAAATAACAAATGGAATTAAATAAATATTACCAAAAAAAAAAAAAAAAGCTAGCTAGATTGGAAGCCGGCATGTGGCATGGTAGTTAAAAGCACTGGATTCCTACATGGCTGATCATGGTTTGAGTCCTGGACCCGGTAGCTTACTTTCTCATTTTCCTTCTCTCTCTGGTCAACTTCAAAATATGAAATAAAATAAAATAAAATAATGACTGGGCCCAGCAGTTGGCATAACGGCTATGTTGCTGGACTCCCCTGTAGTCAATCACAGTTTGAGTCCTGGACCCGGTAGCTTACTTTCTCATTTTCCTTCTCTCTCTGGTCAACTTCAAAATATGAAATAAAATAAAATAAAATAATGATAATAAGTAAAATTTTTAAAAATAAAAAATGCTAGCTAGGCCATTGGGACTAGTAGGTGGCATGGTGGTTAAAGGCCCTGGATTCCCACATGGCCTACCACAGTTCGAGTCCCAGACCTGGTGGCTTGCTTTCTCACTTTCCCTCTCTCTCTCTCTCTGTCGCTCTCTGATCAAACTGTATAATAATAATAAAGTTAAATAAACTAATTCTTAAAAAAATAAAAGCTAGGCCAAGCTACGACATTCATGGATGCATCGAATGCATTATTTTACCTCTTTTTGCTACAGGGTGCATGTGCTTGCCAGAATGGGAGGGAAAGTGAGAAATCGCCAAGGGGGATGGCCACGTCACAATCCCTTCTCCTCATTCTCCTCTTGGGATCTGAGGCACACGTGCACACGTGCCTAGCATATTTCTCAAGCCACCAGGGCTGGACTTGAACTGTGCACTCAGCCATGTGGGATCCAGTGCCTTAACCTCCATGCCACCTGCTGGCCTCCAAATGCACTTTCTACTTAGGATGTTTTCAATATGTCACAGGTTTATTGGGGCAGAACCCCATTGTAAGTAGAGGAGTGTCTGTACAACAGAAGGATGAGAAGGAAGTGGTGGTAGTCACCCCAACAAAGAGTTTTGGGATTTACAGGGGAGGGGGGATGACATAAAAAGTAGTAGGCATCCCCAAATGACATGAGTGGGAGGTGGGGGTAGGGCTTGCGCTAGGTTAGAAAAGGGAAGGGGCCAGGGGTCACCTCAGGTCCAAGGCGGCGCTCGGCAAAACTGTGCACAGTCTCATCAGGCTCTTTTCCCCGGGGCTGGGTCAGCTCCCTCAGCCCTGCCCAAAACAGAGGTTTGGAAAAGGGAGGCGACGGGCGAAGCAGCCCCCTGCAGGGAGGAAGGCACAGTGAGGGACGCTCCTGATTTGCGTCCCCAGTGCACAGTCATTTCCAGGTCGTTGCCATTCATTGGCTCCCGTTTGCTGGGGAGGCCGACAGACTGAGAGGTGTAGAAATGGAAGGAATGTGAGGACAGGACAGAGACCTGCGGGAGGTAAGGGGTGGTGTTACCTGAGGCCGGTGGGGAGGGCGTGCAGGGCGCCGCCTACGTACAGGAATCTGTTCAGGGCCGCTGGGTGGTTCCCTCGGACAGGCAACACTTCCGAGTCCAAGCCAAGCTCGGAAACCTACTCTCCGCACCCTCAGGAAGAGGAGAAACTAAGGAAAGGCCTGGCCCGCTCCGCATACTTCCTCCCTCCGCTACCCTCGGAGTGCAGTTTCTCCGGACCGTCCGCGAGCCTCTCACCATGAGCAGGGTCCGGGCTCCCAGGGCTCCCGCCGGCCGAATGCCCCGAGGGCCGAGTTCAAAGATGGCACCATCCGGCCCTTGGACTGAGCGGATCCAGCCTCCCAGACGCGGGCTGCCCTCCACCAGGACCACCTGGGGACAAGAGGGAGCCTTGGAGCACCGTCTGCAGCACCCCGAGGGCCAGGGTCCACTGGGCCTCTGCTGGACATGGAGACGCAGGAACGAGGCACCTCTGGCACAGGTGGGCACTCACCTTAGGGGGGCGGGGGGCCCGGCTCAGGTGGTAGCAGGCAGCCAAGCCGCTGATGCCTCCACCCAGCACGACCACGGTGCGGCCCATCGGGAAGCCTGCGGGAAAGGGGCGAGGTAGACAGGCAGTCCGGCGGCACCCCTGCGCTCCAGAAGCCTCGCCGGTTCCGCGTGCCACCTCTGGCCGCTCGCTCTAGGAGCAGCGCGCGTGGACGGGCTGGCGGCACAATGAGGTCTTCGCGCAGGGACCAGGACTCACCACCGGCGAAGGGGAGGAACGAGAGAAAAACGAGGGAGGAGAACGGGGTCGTAAGGCCTCCCTCGCCGGCGCCCCGCGGGGTGGCAGATAAGGGCCTCGCCCACGCTATCTGCCCTCACAGGCCGCGGGCGGAGAGCCGGGGGCCAGAGTCCCGGGGCGCCTCTTCGCACGCCGTGCGAGGAAGGTCGGTACCTCCGCCCCCAGCCCTTTAGGTCTCTTCGAGTCTCCGTCCACTCTATTCTCGCGGCACGCGCCGGAGCCTACCCTCTCTGCTTCTGGATTGGTGGGTTCTGGAAGGCCCGGATCTCGTCCTCCAATGAAAACGCAGAACAGGAGAGAGGCAGTCAGGCGGAGCGGCGGCTGCTCGGCGGAGCTGGAGGTTAACCGGTTCAGTGCCAGGTCGGAGTGAGCGGCGGGGCTGGCACAGCCCTCGCCGGCCCGAGGC